TATATATACATTGTATATATATTTATACGAAAGCGACAGGCAACGTTCATTGGACACACAATGCGGAAAGAAGTATTGGAGAATATTATTGTAACAACAGGCAAGTTTGATGGAAAGAGAGATAGAGGCAGACAGAGGGAAAAGATACTGGACAGGTTGACAACATGGCTGGGAACAGCAAGTACGACAGACACCATCGCTGCAAGGCAAGACAAAGTGAAATGGAGGTCCATGATCACCCACGCCAGTCGGCAAGGCACCGGATGATGATGAACGGCAAATAAGCCTGTAACCACCTCTGGCTGATACCTCAAAAGGGAATGGTTTGTTTTCTTCCTTTTCAACAGTCCTGCCTATGACGACCACCTGTCTTAGACGGCGACTCTTCTCATCGACAATCTATGGCCGTCTGACACAGGTTCGACTGTGTAAGTAAGCAACTAATTGTACATACAATGTATTATGTTTTCTATTTGAATCATAGCGCATTGGCAGTATTAACTTTGTCAAGAGATCAAGAGTTATTCCCCTTAAATCACGATCTACCGACAATGATGTCATTCTATCGCGCTGTGTTGCTCAGAAACGAAGCGACGTTTCCCCAACTCTCTGGTTTCCCTTGATCTACTGACTTGTGTCTTTGTCAGGACAGTTGTGAGCAGACCTTGTTCAGGCGTATACGTACATTACAGCAGACTCCATCACCAACCATGTTGCTGCTGGCTTTTGTTGTGGCATTCTTTGCGGCAGTCTCATCTCAGCAAGGTAAAGTCGTCGTTCTCGTCATCGTCATCGTCATCGTCATCATCATCATCATCATCATCATCATCATCATCATCATCATCATCATCATCATCATCATCAGGAAGAGGATGTTAAACATGTAATATATTTCAATGTCCAGGAATGATGGCAACTCGAATTGAGTTATTTGGACGAGTGGAAGTGTCTCTGAGTATAATGACAATGGAGCCGAAAAAGAGCCTCGCTCAGGCTCGAACATTTCTTCGTGAAGTCCACCAGGCCCATTAAGGACCAAAAAAAAAAAAGAAATCATCTTCATCATCATCATCATCATCATCATCATCATCATCATCATCATCATCATCATCATCATTATCATCATCATCATCATCATCATCATCATCATCATCATCATCATTATCATCATCATCACCATCACTGTTTTTGTAATATATTATGGTGACATAAGCCTTAAGGCCAAGTTCGGCAGTGAGAATGGAATATTTCCTTCAATTTTATGATTTTCTGTTTATGCCATATTATTATTCTGTATCCACTTGCTCATCTTGGGAAATACATTCTAGAGCCTAAAACTGTCTATAAGTCCATGAAAATGCAACCTACAGACAAGCAGGCAGTCACATTACTCACAGTTTGTGCTAAAAGTACGGCTAAAATAAGCCTTAGTTACGCCGGTAAAAATAAACGCTACAATGTAAAATTTGGTCTCGATACAAAGGTCATCTTTTCCTCCTCACGTTATTATCTGCCTTGTGGTTATTTTCCATCACAAAGTTGGAAACATCATGACAACAGGAGGCAAGTGCACTTTTGCAATAAAAGCTTATTTTCTCAAAAACCAATTTTTCTGCATTTGAAGTTACAAATCTCCTATGTGGTTTGTGTGACATACTTCAAATTTATACCATGTGTTTACTAGCATCAAATACAAATTTTGTCCCATCCATATGTAAATGTACTGTAAAGTTTTTAAAAAATGATTTTTTAAATGTTAGTGGAGGGCATATAATTGCGTAATATACATACAAAAATTTCAAAAATTCGTATAAAATAGAGCTATTCATTTATTGAAGAGAAAATGGGACAAAATGTGTCTGATGTTGATGAAAATATGTGTGCCAACTTTCATGACTCTTGCATGGATACCAAATGAAAAATGTTCCACTGAAATAGACAAAAAAATCCAAGATGGCGGCTGTTTTTACCCGTTTCCATGGCAACCAAAGCATTTATCTAACATTGAAATGTATCACATGTGAAGAAAACCTCAGTGAAGTATGGTTATCACAAGTAAGTAGATGGGAAGTAACCCGTCTAGCTTTTAGTTTTCACTGTAGACCTTCACCTTAAGTGTCTCATAACCATAGTTATAATCAACATCTCCTGGTCTGCATTATCAGTAAGGCATACCACAAACTGTATAATAGTATCTAATGACAGCACAGCAGCTCCATCCCCTCTCCATCCCAACCCCTCGTTCACGTACCCCCCACTCACACAACCCCAACTCAGCCAACAAAAAGAACATTGAGAAATGTATCAAGACACGGTGGAAACAGGCGCTCGTCAATTCGGTATCATCTGAAAGCTTTTTCACTTGCCCTGCTTATAATGAAATGAAATTAAACCCATCTATCTTGAATAAAAGTCAAAATATATGGGATTGAAGGAGGTGAGGTCGCCTGGTTTCAGTGGTGAAATTGGCGAAAAAAATGGCCTCCAAAGTTTGGTAACT